CAACATATCCAGTTTATTAGCCCAGCTGAAGCCAGCAGATGGACAGAAACACACAAATGAGTCACGGGTTCATGTGTAGTCATATATCAAAAAAGCATCGTCGTGCAAGATCCACCTCTTCACAGCTTCAAGTTTCATCTCTTCTGCTTCAATGTATTCTTTCAGGGACTTGACAAGCTTCCTCTCTGTAAATATCAGGTCTGTCATTTGGCCTATGAAAAGAGAAGGCAAAATTTTAGCATGAAAAAATGACCAAAAAGGCACAAGTTTTAGAGTCCTTCGGCAAAGCCAGCCAGTCCCATATAAAGGGTGTGTTCTTTGATCACTTTCTGCATGTAATTTAATCAGAATTTAAACACCGGCTGATTTTCATGCAACTAAGAGGAATTGTACCAATTGATGTGAAGATTTCGGCTCGCGTGTGAGAAGAGAAGGACAACAGAGTCAGCAGCGCAAACACCAGAAATCTTGCCATTGTCAAGCAAAACCTACAAGGAAACCAAACAGACATGTTAGAAATGTGCAGATATACTTTATATCCCACTGGACTTAACCAAAGTCTTCAACTGAAGACTGCTCAGGGAGTTAAAAATAGACTTTTTATGCACCTAGTCTGCGCATATGTGTGTTAAGCATGCTTACGATTGAGGACTAACACTGAATACTGAGCCAAGTCAGTTCTTTGGTGCTTAACCACAAATGGGTCAAGAAACAGCTGCAGAGCTTTTATTGCTGGTGAAAAACAGGAGTATGACTAGAAAAGATATTTTATACAGAAACGGATTCAAGTATACACTGCCATTCAAAAGTTTGGGGTCAGTATTTTGAAATAAATTAATACTTTTATTCAGAAAGGATGTGTTAAATTGATTAAAAGCGATAGTAAAAAACCTTTATTGTTAGAAAAGATTTCTATTTAGAATACGCGCCGTTCTCTAACCTTTTATTTATCAAAGAATCCTGAAAAAATATCAGTTTCTAAAAAAACATTAAGTGGCACAATTGTTTCCAACATTGATAATAAATCTGCATATTAGAAGAACGATGCTGAAAATTCACAGAAATAATATTTATATATTTTTTAATTCGCTTTTTGCCTTAATTAGAAAGCACAGTGGAGAACCAGTATGTTCTATTAATTTTTAAGATT